CTGCTGCTTTACGAGGTGATGCTGCAGATATCCTAAGATCGATTCCTAAGGGTCAAGAAAAATGTTACCAGACCTTGTTCACTCGACTAGACAAACGTTACGGAGATGCCCATCTACAACAAGTCTACAAAGTACAAATAAGAAGTAGAATTCAACGAGCAAGTGAGAGTTTGCAAGAATTTGAAGCAGATATTGCTCGTATAGCGCTGTTGGCCTATCCAGAGGTACCAGACAACATTTTGGAAGAAATTGCTGTAGATGCCTTCGTCAATGGGTTAAGAGACAGTGAACTACAGAAAGCTTTACGACTAGCAAGACCGAAAGTTTTAGATGAAGCGCTCGCCATTGCCTTGGAACATGAGATAGCTAGTCGAGTTTAACGGAGCTATCAAGTACGAACCTCTGAAGAGAGTGACGAACGAAACGATAAACGTCTGGAGGAAATCGTACGGAAAGTAGTTCGTAACATGATGCCGAAGAGACGTGAACCCAGATGTTGGAATGGTAACAACGAAGGTCACATTCGCCACAAAGTGCAAGAAAATAATACAACAGTCAGAAAGCTAGAACAGATCGAGCACGCTAGAAAAAGTCATTCAAATGCTGATGTTCAATCAAGACGGCCATACAGTGAAAATCGTAATTATTGTCTTAAATTAGAAGAACGACTTTGCCCCGTGAGGCGAACCACCGTTATTAATGATCAATGGCAGCCTTAACAGCTACAAGACGCTCAAGCAGATGATCCATGTATAAAAAGAGTATTAGATTGGGTGCGTCGAAGTGAAAGACCTTCTTGGCAAGACATTAGTGCATATAGTCCCGAAGTCAAGTGTTACTGGAGCCAATGGAATTGTCTAGTGCTGAAAGATGATCTTCTGTATAGAACCTTTGAGAACGATGATGGTACAGAAACTAAGCTTCAGTCGATTGTACCTAAAAGTAAAGTGTCAGAAGTATTACGTCAGTTGCATGACGGTGTATCAGGTGGACACTTTGGTATTACGAAGACTCTGGAAAAGGTTCGAGAATGGTTCTATTGGGTGAACTGTAAAGATGATGTAAGAAGATGGTGCCGGAAATGTGAACTGTGTGCAACCAGTAAGGGTCCAGTTGGTAAAAAGAGGGCACCCATGAAACAGTACAATGTTGGTAGTCCTATGGAAAGAGTAGCAATCGACATTGCAGGTCCACTTCCAGACACAAATGATAGAAATAAATATATCCTGGTAGCCATGGATTATTTTACGAAATGGACTGAGGCCTATGCGCTACCAAATCAAGAAGCTGCTATCGTTGCAGAGGTACTGGTTAAAGAATTCTTTGGCCGATTTGGTGTTCCCTTGGAGATCCACTCCGACCAAGGGTGAAACTTCGAGTCAAACCTTTTCCAAAACGTTTGTAAATTGATTGGCGTCAATAAGACCAGAACGACACCCCTTCATCCTCAATCAGATGGAATGGTCGAGAGAATGAACCGAAAGATGGGTAAACACCTGTCCAAAGTTGTATCAGAACATCAAAGAGATTGGGACCAGGCACATTCATTTATTCCTAATGGCCTACCGCTCGGCCGTGAATGAAACTACGGGCCAGACTCCAACCTGCCTGATGTTAGGTCGTGAAGTTCGTTGGACATGTTGCAAGCGAAGATTATGTCGACCGCCTAAAGTTAAGAATGAACAACATTCATGAACTTGCCCGACAACACATCCAGTTAGCCAGTGACAGAATGAAAGATCAGTACGATTCTCGATGCAAGAATGAAAGCTATGAAGTAGGTGATCTTGTTTGGCTTTATAATCCCCAACGTCGTCGTGGCTTGTCTCCTAAACTGCAAAGACAATGGGAGGGTCCGTATGAAATTAAAAAGAGAATAAATGACGTAATATACCGAATTAAGAAGTTGCCGAAAGGTAAACAAAAAGTAGTTCACATAAATCGTCTTGCACCTTATGCTGGCTCAAATGAAACAGAAGAAGTACGAATCCTTCAACATGAGATCAAAGATAACCGGCGACCAAGCTTTAACGAGTTTATGTCAAATTACGCAGAGAGAAAGAGTGCTAGATTCGGCGTGACGACAGAAGTTCAGCAGGATCTTTTTAGTGTTCCGCATAACGTCTCTCTAGCCCACTGTGTTGCCCCAGATTTTGAGATGACTAAAGGAATCTCATCCGTATTTTATAAGAAATTTGGTCGCTTGGACAAGTTAAAAAACCAGCAGCCTAAAGTTGGAAGAGTGCTGAGATTAGAAGATAATTCTCGATCTTTGCTGTATATGGTGACCAGGAAGTCGTATACAGACAAGGCCACCTACGAGGATATATGGTGTGCTCTAACTAATTTGAAGAAAATCGTCTGCAATTACGACATTAAGAACTTGGCTTTACCCAAGATAGGCCATGCACTAGATAATCTGGATTGGAAGATTGTCAGAAGCATGATTGAAGTGATCTTCCGAGAAACCGGTGTAAGAATTACTGTGTGTTGCATTAATCCGAAGAGATCGTGTCCTTCAAAGACAGTAGACTGTTATTTCTTTCTGAGGGGTTCATGCAGAGCTGGAGAGTCCTGTAGATTCCGCCATCCTGGGCCTATAGACAGAGGTCCTGATCGGGACGCTCAGATCTAAGAGGGGAGCAGTGTTACGAACATGCATTCAGCGCAGATTAACCTAACGGTCGCATCTCGAAGCACCGAGAGTTTCGGCGATATTTCGAGCGCTGTAAAATTCCACCCGTCAACTAACGAATTAGGGGTGGGACTACTCTCGAATATTCTCGAACATAATACTTTGGTATATATATGTAACGAAATTAGGATTTAAGTTTAGTTGATAAGATAGTATCGAACTGTAAAGTTATAAATAAATATATTTATATAAATTCGAACCGCTCGTTTTATTTAAACACGCTACATTATGTTATTGACAAGTTCTGTTGCTGCCCTATCAGCTACTTCATTGCCTATTGGCCGACATGGGATGGCACTCATAAGAATCTTATGTTTTTACCGCTTGTTTGGGAATTGTAAAGCATATCTTTTATTTGAGCTAAATTGGCATGAGTAGGATACATCTGTTTGATACCCTTTTAGGACACTCATAGAATCTGTTATGATAAGAAAATTTATATATTTGCTGATGCATAGATGCGTTGCAGACTACTTGCAGTTCTCCAGTATATGTATATGCTACACTCATTGGCTAAGCGAATGACAGAGGTACTGTTTTCGAAAATAGCTGCAACAGCTACATCATTGCTGCTTTTGGAGGCGTCAGTAAAAATTAGTTTGAAATCAGGATATCTGGAGATGGTAAAGTGGAATTGTTCTTTAATTTCAGAGGGATTGTGTGAATTCTTGGGATAGCTGAGTAAGGTAAAATTTACTTTTGGTATTTGAACTTTCCAATAAGGAGACTGGCATCTATTTGCAACAGTGGATCTTAACAGAGATGTAACATATTCAAATCGATTTATGCGTTCGTTAAAAGGTAGGTTTCTAGGGAAGTAATTTGAATAGAGATTTCAAGAGTTTTTTTTATTAAGTTTGTTATAAAGGGGTTTTTATTTTCATTTGTAGTGAGATTTTTACTAGCACAACACATTAAAAAATACTGCCTTCTAAGAGTTACTGGAGTTTATCTGGTTAAGACTTAAAGGCTTCTAATTGGCGTGGTTTTGAAAGCTCCGAAAACTATGCGTAATGCTGTGGATTGGATGATTTTCAGTTTGTTCAATTAATTTTTGGTAGCAGTTTCATAGCATATACATCCTCAATTTAGTTTAAGAGCTTGATATAATCGAAGAAGAATAATTGTGTCTGCACCTCATTTGTAATTAGAAAGATCTTTTAGAAGGTTTAGAAGGAACAATGATTGTTGTAAGAGTGTGCCCGTATAATTTTAAATTTAAGTTATGTTGTGTTTTTCTTTTGTCAAATAATATTACTTTAGTTTTTTTCCGTTGAAAATCTGAAGCCTATATCCAATGACCACCCTTCCAATTTATTTATTGTGTTTTGTAATATTGATGCAGCTGATTTTAAGTTTTTACTAATCTTATATATTACAAGATCATCCGCATAAAGATTTGCTTTTACTGGAAGTGAAAAATGGTTAAATAAGTTGTTTGTAGCTATCAAAAACAGCAGCGGGCTTAATACTGATCGTTGAGGGATGCCATTTTCCAATGACTTCGTAGTTGATATGACACCGTTTGTTTTAACTTTTATATATCTCTTCACCAGGAAGTTGTTGGTGAATGCTAGGAATTTGCCATCTATTTTCCAACTTTTCATGGTTTTTAAAATGTGGTATATTCACGTGGTGTCGAATGCTTTTGTTATATCGAAGATATAACAAAATTATATATAGAAAATTGTTATGAATTTTTGTTTATATATAAAGGCTTCATGTATTTCAGATTCTAATGCTATTATATTATCTATTGTAGACCGTTCTGATCTGTATCCACTTTGGATGCATGTAAGGAGATTTACCTTTTCTAAGTTCCATTTTAATCTTTTACCTTAACTCTTTTCCATTATTTTACAAATGCTACAAGTAAAAGATATTGGTCGATACTAGGAATAAAAGATTTTTGGTTTATTGTCTTTTAAAAATGGTATAATAAATGCTTCGCGCCATGCAAATGGAAATTTATGGGTTTTGCGATGATTTGTTCAATATTATTTATTAGGTTATATTGGTTTTTAGTTGTTCCGTTATTTTTTTCTTAATTTCCGTTCTGGATCGTTTTATAAATCTGCACCTTCCTTTTTGTAATCTTTCAATCTTTCAAGAAGATTTCCTATTGTTCTGCTTTATTATTTCCTAGAAGTTCATAATATGTCTCATTGTGTAGCGTTTTTTACAGAAACAATATAACAGGATAACTATTTGAAATTTGAATTAAAAAAAGGTAGATTTAAAAAAAATTGTAAACAATAAATAAATGGAAAACAGATATTTTTTTATTTGTATAAAATATTTTTAGTTACACTGACCAGTCTTTTGCAATCATATTAGCAGCTTTTTCCCCGATCATAACGACCGCTGCAAATGTATTTGCTGCAATAATATTTGGCATGATAGAAGCATCAGCTACACGTAGACCAGTAATACCATGTACTTTAAGTGACGGATCAACAACAGCATCTTCGTCGCTACTAGGTCCCATTTTGCAAGTACCTACGGGGTTCTGTCCAGAAGCTCCAACTTGGCGAATTGCACATCTCCAGTATTCGTCACTTCCGAAGGTGATAGCTTCACAACCAGGAAATGGTGTTGTATTTGGTCTTGTATTATATCTTTTGAGTGGCTCTGACTGTGCTATTTTCATTGACTAAAATATGTATCAACATTAACCAACTGGTAAAAGTAAAACCATATAATTTTTAGAATGGTTTTTAAGTTTTTTTTCTAGACATATTTGTAATAATCTAAAATAAACTTAAGCTAAACATTGAATGAAACGTTGAATCAGAACTAACAGAGAAAATCAAACAGCCGAAATATCGAGACGAGTAAGAATGGGATGGACAGCGTTCGGTAAACTTTCTTACGTTTTAAAAAATCAAACAATCCCTCTATACTTACGAAGCAAGGTATATAACTCGTGCATAATACCGGTGCTCGCCTACGGAGCACAGACATGGACATTTACACAGGCCAATTTGGATAAAATAAGAAAGGCACAAAGAGCGATGGAGAGACAAATGTTGGGTGTATCACTTAGAGATAGAAAACGTAACCAGTGGATCAGAACCAGAACAAAGACAGTAGACGCGATAGAACAAGCAGCAAAACTGAAATGGAAATGGGCTGGACACAATGAGCGTCTCCAAGACGGACGATGGAACAATACCATCGGAAAGTGGCGTCCATACAATGCAAAGAGATCAAGAGGCAGACCACAGATGAGGTGGAAAGATGACATCAGGAAATAAGGAGGTCCCACATGGCAGAGAACAGCACAAGATAGGGAAAGATGAAGAGAACTGGGGGAGACCTATATCCAACAATGGAATGATAGAGAATAGGTTCAAAAAAAAAACATTGAATACTGAAATACGTTATTAGACTAGACCGGATCTGTGAAAAAACGACTACATATGGATGTGAGAGGTGGCATTCTGATTTTTGCATAAAAAGTTGTATGGTAACTTCAGTTAGAATAATTTACTTAATTGTCCTCCCTCTCAAATAAGTCTAGAGTATTAATAAAAAACGAAAATATGTAAAAATTACTAAAAACATTTTTTTTTCTGAATAATTTTCTTTTTTTTTAATTGCTTATAACTTTAACTATTCATTGTGGAGAAAAGTTGTAATGAAATAAAATAGCGATAACTGAATATTCTATATGACACTAGTTAAAATTGTTTTAATTTATGACCCTTGCTACAATATAGCAATAAAAACAAAATAGCAGGGGGGGAAGACGTCCCTTATTTTTAATGATTTTTAAGAACCTAGGTCCACTGAATTTCAATAAAATCATCTTTTGAAATATATATACAGAACGAAATAAATTCGGAACATAGGAATATAATGTATTTCGGCTAAATTCTGCTGTAGGTGGTTGGCCAACAAAAGATTGTCAAATAATTATATTATATAAAATCCCATATTTCAGCGGGCTGCTGGATTCTGAACTCATAAAAATTGAAAACTACACATAAATCTACGATTTTATTATGCTGTCAAACCAGTTATAGTCCAGGAAATGTAATTTCACCTCGCAATTTTTTCGTGCGGCGTGGATTAACTTGAAATTTAACAGAAGGTAGGTAATAGCGTAAGGATCAAAATCTATATCGAACCAAAGTGCGCCAAAGCCTAGGGGGTGGTTGCCACCCCATCTCCGGGGTGAAACTTTTTTTTACGTTTTAACTACAGGTTTCGATTAGAAAAGTGATTCTAAACAAAAAATGTTCTATACATTTTTTTATAAAATGATGTTTTTCAAGTTATTCGCGGTTGAAAGTAACAACTTTTAGATGAAAAAATCCACGTTTTTAATCGATTTTTCGCGAATAACTCGAAAATGGTGCATTTTATCAAAAAAATTGTAGAAAACAAATTTGTAGCTTTTAAAAAGACAAATACAATTACAAATACAATATCAATGTTTAGCGGTTTTCTTCAAATGCCAAATTTGAAAGATTCAAAGTCAAATATCGGGAAAATGATGCATTATTGGAAGAAAAACTCACAAAACCTTTTTAAAGAGCATAAATAGACCTATCATAAAAAAATAAGGTCAATACCTCATTTTTTACGAAAAAATCGAGTAAAACAACACCCTAATCACCCCCATAATTAAAATTGATCTTCACCCTTCTGCAATTCCCTTTGTAGATGTATTGTTGATACGACCAAGAAGTTTGACCCATTTAAAATGCTTAGTTTTAGAAAAAGTACAGCTTAAAGCGAGAAACGATTTACAATTTCATATTTTTTACCCTTCTTTTTTTAAATATGCCCGAAAATACTGAATATATGAAAAAAATAAAAATTACCAAATTGTAGCTTTTTTAATGACTAAAATTATCCTTTATTTAGATTTGTTGTACAATGAATATTTGGCGAGATATAGCCGTTTAAAAGCATCGATTTATGATCAAGCACCATATTTTTCGAGCCCTTTAAACTCACGCCATTTAAAAACCAAGAGTTCCAAAAAGATTTAATTCACAGATCCTTGTAGCTATTAAAAACCTCTACAAATCGTTTTTGAAGAAACACTCTTATCATTAAAAATTACAGGAAATACGTTAAAAAAAACCAGTTAATTTTTTTCCGGAAAATTCCATTAGTATAGAACAGTACATTTCGGAGCATAATAATCTACAAAACCGGTATATTAGCTAGTGGGGCGTTATACATTCGAAATTTTAAGCGTTCTTATTTTGAAATCCCATACAACAGAATAAAACATCTGCTCATATGTCTATGGCTTGGCAATGAAAATATCAGAGCAACAGATTATGGATGGTATTCCAAAGATGGTTTGTTATTACCCGTACGCATGAACAAACAACCTGCACCCGACAAATTTTTGAAAATTATTTTTTGCTAATGCAAAAAAGGATGCGGCGTTTCATATGGGTGCAGAAAAGTTGGTTTATACTGTAACTCTACTTGTTCTGGGTGCTCAGGTGAAGGGTGCAATAACAGTCCACCAATAATTGAAGAAGATGAGGATGGCATAGATCACGATGAAGATGTAATTGATGACGAATAAAATTAATATTATAATTGTTTTACCTATAAATGTAAATATTTTCAACTATTTATGTAAATGTATAAGAATATATGGTGCCTTTTTATGTTGATAATTTTGATAATCTTATAAATTAGTTTATAAAAACTGCAATGTTGTAAAGGGTGATTTTCAACAGTTGAAAAGTTGCAAAATTTTGGCAAAAAATTGTTTTCACCTACAGCACTCATAACAATTGATTTTTAAGGGTTGAAAATGTATGAATTTGTGTTTTAAAGTATAAAAAACACTATTTAACTAATCCAAACCAAATTTCACTTATTTTAAGATTTGTAATATTATTTTACAATTTTTGAAAATTAGGGGTAGTTTTTACCCCTAAGAACAATCAGGGTTCATCGGCATGACATAAACTATAAAGCAGAGGGTGAGTTGAGCTTAATTCCAAATTTTTATGCAAATCGTTCCAAGGTGAAATCATTTTCTTCGCATTACTAATTTTTTTATATTAATCTCTAATAAGGGTCGCTTTTTAAGGGTTGAAATATAAAGGAACTTTATTCAAAAGCACGAAACTATCATTATTTAATTAATTCAAACCAAATTTTACCCATATTCAGGTTTAATATGTTATTTTATAATTTTTGACAATTAGGGGTAGTTTTCACCCCTAAGAAAACTCAGGGTTCGTCGACATGACATAAACTATAAAGCAGCGGATGAATTGAGCTTAAATCCAAATTTTTATCCAAATCGATCCAAGGCGAAATCATTTTTTTAGAATTAGTAATTTTTTACATTAATCTCTAACAAGGGTTACTTTTTAAGGGTTGAAATATGATGGAACTCTATTCAAAAGTATAAAATTAGCATTATTTAACTAATTCAAACCAAATCTTACCCATATTCAGGTTTAATATGTTATTTTATAATTTTTGACAATTAGAGGTAGTTTTCACCCCTAAAACCCTTCAGCGCACTTCGGTTCGATATAGATTTTGATCCTTGGGCTATTACCTACCTTCTTCTAAAATTTCAACTGGATACAAGCAGGACGAAAAAATTGCGAGGTTTTAACTTTTTTCGAACTTCATTTCCTGAACTATTATCGCCTCCTTAGACCAACCCGTCTTACGCAAACAAGTTTGTTGCGAGACAGATAGCTAAACGATATTTTATACAATGTCTATACCCAGGTATGTATTGATTTTTATCCAAGTTTTATATTGGTCCACTATTTCAAATGCAGTTCAAACAGACATGTATTAAATTGTATGATCTGTTTTAATTTGGTTCAATCTGTATATATATATATATATATATATATATATATATATATATATATATATATATATATATATATATATATATATATATATTCAGGGATTCTACAGTATTCACTACCTTCCGTCCCTCAACCGTTCCCATCTCTCTCTGTTGGCCCATTCTCCATCGTTTAGGCCTCTCTTACTCATGGCGTCGTAACTACCTCGTTCCTCCAGGATCTTCGGGGTCGTCCGCTTTTTCTCCTACCTATGGGACTTCATTCGGTTATTCTCTTTATCCATCTGCTGTCGCTAGTTCTTCTTACATGTCCATACCACTTTAGTCTATATGTTAGTATGTCTGTTTCTATTGATGTTCTATACTTTATTTAATCATTACTTCTCCTATCCATTGTTTTTACTCTGCAGCATCTTCGCAGGCATTCCATCTCTGTTGCTACTATCTTACTGTTGTTTTTCTTGTTGATCATCCAATTTTCAGCCCCATATGTTATAATACTTCGCACTAATGTTTTATTAATCTGTGTTTTGTCTTCATATTTAAGTGTCTATTCCATCATACTGAGTTATGTTTTCGGATTGCTGTTCTTGTTTGTCCTAATCTTTGCGTAATTTCTTCCTCTGTTGTTGCCTTTTTCGTGATTATAAACCCCAAGTATTTAAATTTGTCCTTTCCTTTGATTGTTACGTTGTCATCAATCTGTAGATCTTCTGTGTCTTCTTCACTTGTAGATAGGTACTCAGTTTTCGCGAGGTTAATATCTAGGTCAGCCTTGGTATATTCCTCTTGCAATTTCTTCATCATGTAGCTGAGGTCGTCTTGGTCTTGTG